AACTGTTTATTTGGGCGGACCTGTGCTCAGTAAACGGAAAGACCGATTACAATAGCAGTCTTGGACTGATAGCGGCGAACGGAGCGTCGGCCGTCGATCAACAACTGACGAGCGGTGAAGCACGTCCGCATTTATACTCTTGCCGTCGAATGTTCTAGCGTTATCGCTAGCGGTCGCGTAGGTTCCAGAATAATCTGTACAGTTCGCAGAGTAGGTGTGATCTTATCGAAATGGTCTACTACAGTCCGGAACCTTCTCGAAAACTGCAGGCGCGGTTTGCGCTGAGAATTGTGTAGTGTTTTGGGACGATAACAAAACTTGGGAAATGGAACGTGGCACTATTGAAACAATGTTAAATCAAGCCATTATGTCGCAAAATAACAAAGCAATAAAAGTTGAAACAGTATCTTAATCATGCCAAACAGTTGCAAGTACAGTTGACGTCAATTAAAGTTTAAATGTCGTGCCTTTTGCGGCAAAGCGCCATCTGTCGAATGCAGGAGAAACCTCTTTGCTGATAGCACGACGAAAGCACAGCGGCACAAAAACAAAGCAAAAAACAAGGTGCACGCCATCTCGGAGGCAGTGCAAAGCGCAACTGCACTCACCGTACTGATGGTGCATCATGCGCAGCCATCGTGTACCGCAGTGCTTGTGCGTCGCCATCTGATGTTGCGTTTTTTGTAGTAGGGTTTGACGTTGTGAACTTAGTTGGGACAACTGCTGCGCAAGGCGCATTTGGCCATTAGGTTATCCACACGGCTGATTACAAACAGCATACGCTGGAAGATGGGAACCGAGTGGCTCAAAGGCACTTTGGCGTCGATCCGTGGGCGTTCATTATGAGAGGAAACAAAAAGAGCTTTGGGCAACAAAAAGATTTGTCGTGTATTTCACGGGCCAAAACAAACAAAGCTGTCACGCAAAATTTTGGCTGCTATAACTCCCGTGACATTTTTGTTCCACGTAATGAACCCTCCCCCCGAATCGGCACGGCACGGCACGGCACTTCTTGCTCACCATGGATGCCGGAGAGAAACGCGACTTTCGTTCGCGGAAATTCGTGATGACGCATCAGTACAAGGGAAGATGCCCCAAATGCAAGCAGTGAGCTTCGGTGACGGGAGGTTCATGTGCTACTAGGCCTAGCCGCGCAACGCACCAATTTGGATTGTTGGAGCTTTATTCATAGCATCAATTGCTTTGCCTCATACCGAAGGATAAAGATGTTCGACCACGAAAGCACGTGTCAGGATGAACGCGGAAGACATTTATTTGTGAGACTTTGCGATGCAGAACTTCGACAGCGGCACAGTATGCCCCCAACTGCGATCGGTGCGAGCTGTCTGCTCGAGAATCGGCAAGTAGACAACAATGACTGGCACCATTGTCGGAACTGTATTGCTGAAATGACACACGTGCTGCAACTGTTGTTTCGTACACGCCAAGCTGTGTGTATTTGTCATGCAGTGGAAGCCAGAAGATGTCCATCAGCAGCAGTGCACGGGACAGCTTTGCCATGAACATGAAGTTCGTGGTCGCAGCACGTGCGATTGGCATTGGACACGAGCAGCTTGTGTGGTTTTGTGCAATATTTGGTGTTCCAAAGCCAGAGCACCACAATACTTTCGCTGCCGTTGGCAAAACTTTCACAGCCATTGACATGCCGTCGTTGAAAACTTCGCACAAGCCAGGGAGCAAGGGCCCATTGTCGCAGTGCGGCAAAAAAGAACCTGCCGGAAGGAGGTAGCTTTCAGAGACTATCAGGGTCCAACATATGATGCTGGGTCATTCTGAAATTATCTTTTTCTAGGTAACCTAGAAAAAGATAACTTTTTTAAGAAAAAGGAATTTCTGATCACAAGATGGTATCCTTAACTTTAGAAATGCAGTTTTCTTCGAAACTTCAAATAAAAGAAAGTATAATCCCGTTGTTTACACATGCTAGTGACGTCCACGTACTAGATTTACTTGGTAGTTCGTTCTCTGACTTCAGCACTCTGTACAAATCAACTGATGGCTCCGTCGAACAGATGTGGCGTTTCTTTAAGGAACTAGTTTTTCGATGCATTGCGCAGTTCGTGCCAAAAAAAAACAGAAGATCGTGTGCAGCTGTAACCCTTTTATGAGGGACCTCGTTCGAATGGGGCGTAAGCTTAAAAAGGCGAGAACTAGGCACAAATGTCATCCAACAAACGCTAACGCTGAAAAGATTACTGAGCTAAGCACTGTGCTAGGAAACAGTATCAAAAAAGCAAAAGTGCACTTCCGAAACGTGACACTAAAAAACTTTCTTCTCTCATCCCCTGATAAGTTCTGGCGACACTTGTCACCGCAAAAAAAGTCTCTGCCGCGTCTGTCCTGCCGGTGACACAGTACTCGACGACAAACTTGAAATAGCTCAAGTACTTAACACATATTTCTGTTCTGTGTTCACTCAGGATAATGGCAGTGCTCCAGAAACTTCGCATCTCGAAGAAATACTGCCGATTGATGACATATTCATTAGTGAGGAGGGGGTCCTGATGTTGCTTCTTAAATTAGACACAAAGAAATCTCCTGGTTCTGATGAAATACCGAACGCTTTTCTTGCGCGATATGCTCAATGGTGCGTGAAGTATTTAACTCTGCTATATCGCAAATCACTGATTCGTGTGGAACTTCCAGATGACTGGAGATTTGCTAAAATTACCCCCATACCTAAATCAGGTGACCAATCATCACCTTCTTCATACAGGCCTATATCGATTTTATGTACTTCTGTGAAGCTGCTTGAACATATTATATTTAAGCACATATCTTCCTTTGTTGAGAGCAATAATTTGATCGACCATCGGCAACATAGATTTCGTAGAGGGATGTCTACAGTAACCCAGCTAGTCTTAAAAATACATGACCTCGCTTTGGCATTAGACAGACATAATCAAATAGATGTAATATTTCTAGACTTCGAAAAAGCCTTTGACCGGGTATCTCATTCCAAGCTGATACTAAAACTGAAGCCCACTCTCAAAAATGATCGCCTTTTGACCTGGATTGCTGTGTACCTCTCGTCAAGGCGGCAATGTGTAGTCATTGATGGCACAGCTTCTCCTTCAGCTCCGGTGGCATCTGGTGTTGCGCAGGGCTCCGTTCTCGGGCCTCTATTTTTCCTGCTATATATTAATGATATTGTTCAGAGCATAGGCGTCCAAATTTAGTTATTCGCAGACGGCTGCGTAATATACCAGGAAGTATCTAGCCCTAATGACCAGGTCCTGCTAAATCAAGGATTAAGTGCAATTGCAAACTGGTGTTGTACATGGCAGATGACGGTTAATAGTAAAAAAACGGTAGCAATGACCATAACCCGCAAGAATAAACCACTTAAATTTACCTACTTCATCAATAATCAACCTTTAAGCTTAGTGCAAAGCTATAAGTATTTAGGAGTAATGATAACCTCCGATTTACTGCTGGAATGAACATGTAACGTTTATTGCTAAAAAAGCCTACAGACAACTAGGGATATCTTCGGCGCACGCTGGGTCACTCAACAATGGAAATAAAACTATTAGCCTTCAGGACGTTTATTAGGCTCATATTGGAGTATGCAGCGGCGGCCTGGGATCCCTGGACAGCCTCTAATAAACTAAAGCTGGAAAGTATCCAAAGAAAATCTGTTAGGTTCATTTATAATAGTTATAGTTGGAAAACATTTCCGTCCCACCTCCTACAGAAAGCAGGACTAGAGAAACTTGAAACAAGGCGCTGTCATGACATGTTAACGTTATTTTATTTGTTCTATCGCAAAATTCTACGAGTTGATTCAGTCCGCATTCATAAAACCTGCCATTAGCCGCTTTACTCGGTCTCTTCACGCAAAAAAGGTGGCCGAGCTGAAGTGCAGAACAAACACTTTTACGTACTCTTGCTTTCCTCGGACAATCGTTCCAACATTGATTCATTTCTGCAGGCGATCAGAAATGAAGTTCTTTAATCGCCACTATGCTCGAAGCGTCATGTAAAGTCATGTACTCACTTGCATTTGCTTTCACTTTGCTGGGTTCGAATAAATGGTGAAACTTTCTTTTTCTTTTTTCCTTTGACTTTTGTGCTATGTAAGTACCAGGTCAGTACCTGCGATGCTTTCTGCTATGTAAATACTTAATGTGAGTACCTTGTGCTATGCGAGTACTAACTGCCGTGCAATTGGTTCCCTTTCGTTGTTTTTGCATGTTTTGCCAATGCCATTGATTTGCAGTCATGTATTTCTTTTTTGTTTGTGCAGTTCTATTCAGTACTTCGAGCTTGTTCTGTGTTGTGTATTTATGCCCCGCTCCTGCCTAAGGCCTCCATATGAGGCCGGCAGTATGTAATAAATAAATAAATAAATAAATAATAAATAACCTTGCTGACGTTCTCTGTGAATTTCTTGCAGATCGCTTGAACAGTATATTATTAAACATATTTTTTAACTTTCAAACATCTTTTTCTCAGTTTTTCATTTTACTGCACTTTTAGAGTTTGTGCACTAAAATTTGTGGACTTTAGTCGGATTGTAATCAAGCTTGGTACGCTTTTGATGTTTAACACATTGTGATTTTAAAGGAACAACTTTCAGAGGTTTTTCATGAGCATATTCAGCTAGATTATTTCAAAAGCTTGTTCCTTGAGCATGGTAAAACCGATACTCGGCATTCGAATTTTTCACTAGGCCATCACACATACGTTACTGCAACGTTTCTTTGCTTTATTGCATTCCTCAATTCATTAGGAGCAACATGTGCTATATTTTAGTGCTATCTTATGCTCACTATTGTTGCATAAGCTTGCTCAAAAATGCATTGTTTTTACAATTGCATGGTCTGCAAAAAATCAACCAAGTGAGCTATAAAAGAGCAAAAAGAAAATAGAAAAGAGGACCTAAAACTCTAATTCTTGAAAGTTTCATTGAGCTGTCACAAATATCTGAAAGAAAAGTTTTTCAAGGAGCATCTCTCCTTAAATTTTTCTTCCAGGCCTTACAGGAGCCCATCACCTAGGCTCCGTCACGGGCACCGGAGGAGCATGAGCCCTGGCAGGAAGCACAGGCCATCTCCACTGCCTCTGCGTGAGGAGAGGCGTCGAATGCCTTCACCACCATACGAAAGGAGACCTCCGCCTCGATCGGCTATGAGCCCACGCAGGGAACAGCGTAAGTCACTCTCTACTTCCATAGGTGTGGGCTTCTTTTCCGCCATTCTTCTTCAAGTCTCACAAAATAGCATGACAGGGCTTTTTTTAATGTCTCCACCTCGCATTTACATAAATTCAATTTTTAACTTTCAATGGGGGGGGGGGGGGGGGTTGTGGCAGTAGCTTTTCGCTGGAGAAACTGTGGCATACAGTATTTCATGTACAGTCAAGCCCACATATAACGGCCCCACTTAAAACGAACTTTTGCTTAAAACGAACAATATCCGTGTGACCGTGAAAATATACATTGGTTCAATGGCACAAAATCGCACTTACAATGAACGTCTTCGAGCGCCGCTCATCGGTTACCGCAAACAGAGTCAGCGATCTGCCGACTTCCCGGGAAATCAATTTCGACCACCGATCAGACATCGGCGAGGTGCCCCTACATTCCTATTGTTAAACGCCGACCCTGCCTTCGCGACCCTCTAGTTGCCGCTCTCCCCAACCCATAGTAAAAGGAAGGTTTCCTTCCTCCTTGCCTCTACTCTCTTTTGTTACGCACCCCTCCGTCCTTTGTTCTCCCGCTACTCTGAGCACCCCGCATCGCAGACGAGGCCAGGTGTTTTCACACTGCCACAGATCTTTCGAAGACCGGTCCGCCATCTACCCTGTTTTTGATCGCTGGTACTGTCGTTGGTGTCGTCGGCCACCGACTGTGTTCGATAGTCTGCATCTAGTGCACGCGCATACTCTACCCCACCGACTCTGATAATTTGCAATTAGTTTCAAGTTTAAGGACTTGTTCCCGCTCACTTCGCACTCAGCTCAGCATGCCTTCCGTGCGCGTGCGGAAGCACGAGAACGGCTGTTAATTTGGGTGGAATTAATCGCGAAATATCGAAGTTCAAGAGGCCACGCTGTTGGGTCTCAATATGGCGAGCGAGCACCACGCCACGCTCTTGGAGTGAACAGACACAGAAGACACGGTCGGTACAAACCAACAAACACATACACGTTTATTTAACTAATTTATAACGACGATATCGTCTGCCGAATCAATACATCAATTGTGATCAACACACTAGGACATCCTTGCACAATATACACACACACACACACACTCCAAACAAACCCAATAACACGACAAACACGCTAACGCACCCAAGGCGGCGTCGCCAACGCCTACCGCAGGCGGCCCGCGATGCCGTCCACGGCAGACCCACCGCGAGAGACAATCGTTCACGGCAGCCGCCAAGCGCAGAAGAGGCTCGCTCAACTCTCGCCCGCCACCAAGGCCTGCCTTTCGCCAGGGGTCACCGGCCAGCGCGTCCACTCTACCAACAGTGGTAGAGTTGTAGCGCTGGCGTTGACTGGTGACACTCAACGCGAACACAACGCCACCTATCGCCCGGCGATAGTCACCCGAAATGCGGCCTTGAGGCGAGACACGTGCGCCACATGGCGCAAACAACTTTACAGGGGGTGTCGGCACCCCCACAACGTTGGCGCAACAAAACCCGCCGGCGCAACAAAACTATTTTTTGACCACGGCCGCCGATTCTTCGAACAACACCGCGCGAACCGATGCAGGCGGCTATGCTTTGACTTCTGTGCGTGCAGGCACTCTTTCCAAGTTTTTCGACATGCGAGTTTCGCGGACCTTTCAAGCAAGCTACCCAACTTGCCTCCTTCCCGTGGGGCTCTTTGATTTTCGGATTCCTGGGTTGGTTCTGAAGACCCCCGGGCTCCCCGAAAGCTACTGCTGCATCCGGTTCTGATAGGAAATGACGTAACTTGGCTACGCGCCCGCCCGGCGACGGCCCGAAGGCCGCAAAATCGAACGCAGGACAGCCAGCGTAAACGTAAAGAAAGTCTACCGTCATGGCAGTTAACAAAATAATGTGCCGCGTGTATGTTGGTTTTTTTTTTTTTTTTTCATTGTCTGCTTGGAAATACGTAGCTAAGCTCGCCAAAAAGCTGAAATAATATTCTCGAGCATACGCATTTGGGATACGACTTTGTACGCTTGCACGATCACTCGCCGCGTCCCCGAACGAAACAGCCGGCTGGCGCACGCTGCCTTGAGAACGATGCAAGGTGAGCTGCCGCGGTGGTGACGGCTTGACAAGCTCACGTCTCTTTTAGTACATGTATCAGTCACTGCACAACACGATGCGTAGTCACATGAAATTGATCGTGTCCCCAAAAGAGCTTGAATATATATACCTGCTCAGCTATCGCGTATCATACGTCGCAAACACACGTTGACCAACTTACGCTTTTGTCTAAAGTTTATGATATGCGTAGGTATCTGTGCCACGAGTGCGGGTCGTATATAAAATAAACATTTGCATGACACGTTCTCGACCCACCTTTCGAAACTTGCCTTGGCCTGTTTTTCGTTCCTAAGCGGCACTTAACGAATGTCATGTTATCATCTTTGATTCGACCTACTAGGTCATAGTACGTATTGCGTGGCATTATTATCAAAAGGTGAAAAAAGACAAAGCCAACGATGAAATGTGCCACGAAAGGATGTATACATTTCTGATTCCATTCTGCGTTTTTTTTCTCGCGCCGTATTGTATAATATCATACCACATATGCTGGCTTATAGATGGAAATAGGTTCGCACGCCTGTTCGCGACCAGCGAGCATCACCAACAGTCGCGATCTAGGGCCTTGTATCACCATCAAAGATCAATCGTGTGGTCAGGACAGAGGTTCTAAGAGGTTTACGTACGCAAACACACGACAGAGCGAGCTATTAAGATCACCATCGTCTTCGCTAAGTGCACAGAAAGCAGGCACAGCTTCACAAACGACTACTACGAAACAAAAAAAATTTAACCCCAAAGTTGTCTCCATGCGTGCGTACGAACGTGTACTACGTACATAACTTTTAAGGGGGGACGTGGCAAGTAAAACTAATTTTTTTATTAATGTACTGTTTGTGATGAAATTTGGTGTGTGTATGTGGATGATTGTGAGGATTCCAAATATGAAAACCGTTTTCAAATACCTCTTGTAGTTTTTGAGTTACAAGCATAATTATACTAATTAATGCTCTTCACACTTAAAGAGATAATTATTGCTAAATGAAATTATTTTTTCATATTATTATGTTCCCAAAGCATCAACTTGTGCAAAGAAGCTATTAGTTGATTTTTCTAGTTCTTGTAACCATAAATAAAATTTCCAAAACATGGATGTTGTTTTGCGCACACATCGCAGTAATTATAAAATGTGTTCTAAAAATTTTAAATGATGAGTAAGAAGAGAGATAAAGCTTTATTGCACTGCTAAAGGCCTCCTGAGCCTAGTGCAAAAAACGGAACGACTCTATCAGTCTTTGTTAGAAAATGACAGATGTTCTAGCGAAGGCACATAGGCGAAAATCAAGAGTTGAGAAAACTGACTTTGAAAGTTCACTCTTGTTTGGAAGTTCACAACATGGCTAAAACACTCAGAATCCTCCTGGGCAGTAATCCTGAGATGCTGTGGCCTTGGCCTCTGTAGAGCGCAACCCAGTTTTGCGCTTCTTTGTCGTGGAACAATGCGCTTTTTGAGCCCTCTTTACCCTTTTGGCATCTTTTTCGGCTGCTCGCCGCAAAGAGCAGTCTCCTGGATTGAAGCCCAGTTGAGCAGTGATCTCTTGCAGCGCACTCTTGCAGCCACCATTGAAACGGCAGACTGCATCTGCAACTGCACTTTCCACACTTCGAAGGGAGGCGAACTGGCTCTTGGACTGGAGTGACCAAATGAGGCTGTTCATACTCTCCACAGCGTTCTGGGTTTTTCCCTGCGCACACCTTTCAAGGAGCTATTTGTTCGAGAGGCGCTTGTAGATTGGCAGCAGTGCCACTCGCACGTGAGGGGGCAGTTTATGTTTGTGAGGCGGCAGCGGCTCTCCCTTGGCCAATGCCTGATTGTGCGGGCACCAGGAGTCAGTCCCACTTGGGCACAGGTTGTGGTGTGGATCCTGGTCTGTGGATGTTACATGGTAATAAGTGGCCATGATGGCCCTCTCCATGCCAGGAACATCGTTGGGGTGGCTCTTAATGGCCCAGCCATAATAATTCGTCAACTTCTTTATCAGGCCCTGCGTCAGCCGGCCTTTGCCACCCATGCTCAGTCCTCGGCCTTTGGATTGTGCTCATCAAGAAGGTTGCGCAAGGAAGTGCCCATTCTTTTTTTCACATGGTTCACACACTCCTGTTTCTTAATCACCATGTAGCCATACACCTTGTCTTGCGTGAGGGCAAGGTACGTACGGCTGTCACCGTCGCAGAGCACATTGATGTATCGAAGCTTGTACTTGGTAAACGATCTTTCAAACATGATCCTAGCTGCTTCTACTTCCATTTGGCCTGCATTAGCATCGGTGTTCTTTTGGCACTGTGGCTTGTGTTTCTCAAGCCACTCCTCATAGTTGTCGTCACCAGGCTTGGGGCCAACAGCACAGCCTTGGCAGTAGTTGGACAGGACACAGTGGTCCAAGACCAAGCCTGTGTACAGCTCGATTACACAGCCCACGCCAATATGACTTCTGTGCCCCCTCGTCATCCACATGCCGTCGTAAATGACGTCAATGTTGCCTGGCACTCCTCCTAGGTCCTTGTAAATGTCATGCACCTTCTGTGCACTTTCTGCTTCAATGCGGGTGGCAGCTGATGTGGTGGCAGGGTGGCTGTACTTCCTTTGCAGTCTCTGGTAGGACTTGTGGTGCAGTGCTCGATGCGAAATGTCCATCGCAGAAAAAATGTCATTTATGGCAGATTGTTTTCTGCCAACTGACTGCACAGCCCTCAAAGCACGCACGTTTACCTCAAAGGGGTTCGTTTTTTGTTGCCCGGAGCACCTCGGGGACGACCACGCACTGTTCACTCTGCCACAATTGTCACAAAAAAGTTCCATCCTCGCCGCGAGTCCAAGGCAGTGCGTAGTCTCGAGGCGTATCGACCCTTTGTCGCACTTGTTGCACTTTACTGACGAAAGCAGACCGTTCAGCATCTTCTTATTTACAATGAAGAATGTGGAGTCCTTACCGCCGTCATTTTCGTCGCAGCCTTCGTTCAGAAGCTCGAGCTTCCGCTTTGAAGCGGACTTCGATGCTACGGCATCCAAAACATCCCGCCTTGTCTGCGCCCGCTGCGCGATTTCTTCACTGCTCGGAATCTGGGCCGAAACTCGCGATAGAATGTTCGACGCGCGCACGCCCGGAGTTGCAACGGCTGCCGACGCGGTGCCACCGCAATCGGGTTCGCGAGAGCGTCCATCACGGTCGACGGCATCCGGCGGTCTGACATACGACGATGTGGCACCTTCCACACTCTCGGCCTCACAACAATCAGCGAAGGGTCTGAGTAGAGGCTCCGTGACGCTCGAAGAGCATGCTCCGTCCGGAACTGCGACTGGGACGGCAGCCGCAGTCGTCTGCCCTTTGTTCCAAGCTTTCCGACGCTTGCCGTACTTGTGGACGCTCCGGAACTTTTTTTGCGGCAACATAGCACCGCAGTATGAGCAAGCACTCAGAAGAGACCACCGATGTAACAAAGCTTGGTAAAAAAAAGCACGCGAACTATCACAAAAACAGCAAACTGGCAAAAAACGAAGCGCACGCCGGATGATTCTCGACACGGCGGCCGCAGATGCGCTCGCGCTTCCAAGGTTGCCAAGGTGCGCGGCGCAGCTTTGACCAGTAAGAGGTCGCGCCTGCTACCCACGTGACCCGCGCAGCCAATTGCCGTTCTTCGTTTTCGTTTTTTTACTTGCTCCTCGCGCTTTATTTTCACTCGGCGAAATACGAGACCGCGACCATCGGGAAGCCGGCTTTCTCCTCTTTCCAAAGCTACCAAAATGGCGGCCCACGGTCAACAACTTGGCGCGTTTGTGCGGCGTGAACAACACCGTTTCAGGGGCTTTTTTTTCGCACTTTTTGGCGACTAGCCTCGGCAAAAACACTATTTGCGGGATTTGTAGCGCACGTTTCGCTGTAATATTTTAGAACAAGGAAGTTGAAGGTCTGAAGATTACGAAAAAAAATAAATCAGAAAATCGCATATTTTGACCAAAATCGGCACTTTACTTGCCGCGCCCCCCCTTAAGGCATTTGCACGACACAGTTCAACAGGCAACAGTTCACCGCGTTGTTCACAGGAGGAAGCTTCAAGGGAAACATAACAAATGCGATGAACCGTAGCTTCAAATACACGCCGCCACTCGTAATCGCCTCATCTCTTAAGGTGGAACAGGCTTTAGAAGATAACGCCACGCGTAATGACAAGCGAAGGCGCAGTCCTCAAGCAGCCACATTACAATCCATCGAATCCTCACAAAGATGGCACCGAGCGCGCATCGTACCTTTTCGGCGTCTGCTAGCCCGAAACCTGCCCAAAACCTTCCAGAGAGCTTCCATGACTTAAAGGAAACTATCAAAAGTGCATTATGATTGCAATGAAATGTTCTCATTTAGGAATGTTTGCAAAAAGTAGTGAAAAATGCGCCAAAACATTCTTTAGCTCTTTGGACCTATTGCTGCTGCCATTACAGTCGCCGACCGATTTTTCGGACCTGGCGGGGACCGAAAAAAAGTACGAAAAATCGAACAGTCCGAAAAATTCATTTTCGCCAAAAATCTGAAGTTTATTGCATCAGGCAGGTTTAAAAAAGTCCTTGATGCTGCCTTGCCTCAAACTACGCTTGGAGGCAATTTGGTTTGCCCGTATTTGCGCCAAGGTGACATCGTCGCCGTAAACGCTCAACAAAATTGTCACCGCGTTGGCGATCTCCGCCGCCGACGGCTGCGGGCGGTTGTCGTCATCCGACGACAACGACGACCGCCATCCGGCGTCGACCGTCATCCGGCGACATCTAGCTGCGAACGTCCACTCTCTATTAGCTTGATTTTGGCAGCTTTCTTCTCCATCGTCAGGGTCGTATACTTCCCACGCTTCTTCACACCACCTGGCTCCCGCGATGGCACAGATGGCGGAGCCATGGCACCGAGAACACAAAATTCGATGCCGCAGATAGCCGCTGCGAAGCACACAACGTCTCGACGCTACGCGACACAACACGTGCAGAATGGCGACTGAAAAAAGCTGCAACGACGATAAAAGAATCCTTCTTTCGCCTCCTCCCCGTGCGATGTGATGACGATAGTGCTGACCGAAGACGAAAAAACGGCATCCATCACCGCGTCTTCTAAAAAGCAAACACGGCCTCCGAAACTTAAAATATGGCGTGCGCATTCCAATCTCAGAGGCAGGAAAGGCATCTGAAGACCAAGCTTAGCCAAGCCGACGGAAAATCCAACATGGCGGCGTTCACAATGGCTTGGGGCGTGGCACAAAACGAGCGATTTAGTCCGAAAAATTGAACTTTCAGGGGCAAATTCGCCCGAAAAATCGGTCGAAACAATGCATTAGCTCTATGGGATCCCTGACGGTGCATTTATGAAGTCCGGAATATCCAACAAGTCCGAATTTTTGGAGTCCGGAAAATCGGTCGGCGACTGTATTTGTTCTCAAATGATCATGTGAAAGCTGCTAAAGTGAATTTAACATTGTATATTCCAAGCCCTCATGCAAAGTTATGTAGTCAAACGGGACTTTTTTTTTCTCCCTCAGTAAAAATGAAGCAATGTAAAGGTCAAGTCTTCCAGATTATTTTACTTGTACTCTAACTTCTGTTTGTAGGAGCCATGAATCAGCATTCAAGAAGCCGTGCCAGAAGGTCTCGCAGTCCATCGGAAGCTGTTGAGCGTTATAGAGAGGCTGATGCACGACGCCAAGCACATCCGCAGAACAGTCATCACGTGTAAGGAATTTTGTTTTTGCTTTAATTTACTATCTTTGTAATCAAGACAAGGTTCTGTTAATGGGGCACTAATTTAATATCTGGGTGCATTAAAATTTGCTAAAACATTGTTAAAGAACCCCAGGTGAACAAAGGGGTTTACTTTGGTGCAAGAGCCCCAAGTGGTAAAAATTAATTAGCAGTACCTCATAAGCATGTTGTGGTGTCAGCACCATAATTTCCAGCAGTTAAAATATAGTTCCTAACTTTTTATGAGTCTAAAAATGTTTTGGGATCTCGTCCTCACACGCTGTGTTGGTTATTTCCCTGACCATGTTATTGTAACTTCCCATGGGTCAAAATGTTTGGGGATCTTGTTCTCACGCCCCGTGATGGTTATTTCCCTAACCGTGTCACTGTTTCCTTTTTCTGCAGGAGTCATCAACAAAGAAAGCGAAGAGCTCCAGTGCGCTCAGAATCATCGTCCTCATCATCTGCAGAGGAGCCTCTACCACGCAGAAAAGGGGCACCACCTCCTGATGATGAATCAGGCTCAAGTTCATCATCATCAGAGTTTACATCTCCCGAGAGGCCGGTTAGTTCCATAAATGGGATTAAGTTATTTAGAATGGCTATGGCACGCTCGGCAGTTACGCATAAACCTTATCAAGTTTGCCAATTTCTTTCTGTAGTTTTTCTTGGCTGTCAATGCCTCACAGGCAGGGTGTAGTCATTTTCAAATTGTATCTACTGGCCCCATGCACACACGTACAGTGGACTCCCAACTAACGAAACTTGCTTAAATGAAAATGCCTCTATAACGGAACTAAGCGGGCTCATATGGCTGGATTTCTATGTGTTGCGCAGTAAAATTCATCGGTTAACCAAAACAGTGCTTATTGGTTACCTACGGTTAAACGGCACAACCTCTAAACACAGCATAGACTCGCTCAGGCCAAAGGTAGTCTCACAACCATGGCAACACCTCGAGACAAGCCAATCCAGTAGCCACGCTTGCTTGTGGTGGCTGTGGGAGCCGAGTTGGCGAGTCAGTTGTGTGTTAGGCCTATTTGTGCGGCTAAGTGAGGTGGATCATGGTGTTATTTCAGCCTGATATAAAGAAAGCGGCCGCACCACGCATTCTCGCTTAAAAAAAAGCTAATTCTTCCGTAGCTCGATTGAATCGACCTGTCCAAGATGGAGGTGGCGAAAAAAATACAACACCCTGAAATCGACGCTGTGGCGGATCTGCAGAAACAGAAAAAGATTGAAGGCGCTGTAAAGAACGGGACCTTTACATCTAAACGGATGCGGACGACGCCTTATGAACAACTCGAAAAAATTCTTTTTCTCTGGTTTAAGCGTGCACAGAGTTGCAATTTGCCCTTAAGCGGACCAATCCTCAAGCAGAAAGCTCGAGAGATCGCCATGCAAGTGAGTGTTGAGAACTTCGTTCTTGATTCACTAAATAAGGGTACTTTGCTTAACTGAAACTTCTGATAAATGGAACAGTTTTATGGATCCCCTTAGAGTTACGTTTAAGAGGAGTCAACTGTACATAACAGCACTGCAGGATTATATTTTCTGTAGCACAGATAGTTAAGATGGGATAGGTTATGCAAGAGAAACATGAATCGGTTGTTTGAATTTCAGAAGTATTGATAGTTTGAGGCGAGTGGGTCTTCCATCCTTTGCTTTCACCAGAATTTCAACTCTGAACTCGTTATTAAACATTGTAAGCAGCATGCCATGTCAAACACTTTCAAAATCCTGTCACTTTGTGTGTGTTGATAAGTGACATAATTATGGGCATGAGGACTTGTGTTGTTCCACCGCGGTGGTCTAGTGGCTAAGGTACGCAGCTGCTTATTCGCAGGTCGTGGTGTCGAATCCCGGCTTCGACGGCTGCATTTTCGATGGAGGCGAAAATGCTGTAGGCTTGTGTGCTCATATTTTAAGGTACGGTAAAGAACCCCAGGTGGTCAAAATTTCGGGAGCCCTCCACTACAGTCCAACCCGGGTATATCGAACTCGCCAAAAAATGTTTATTAATTCGATATATGGCATAATTCGATATAGGCCCAGTATAGGTTTTGACACAAAGGCACATAACAAACTAGAAGAAAAGTACTTTATTAATATCGTGGCTTACTTGCGTGCCTTACTGTGGAACAAAATGGTCCCGAGTTTTTTTCTGTGTCAACGACTTCGCTGCCTGCAACAGCACGCATGCCTCCACGTTGTCCAACGAGACGGAGCAGCTGAGGCCGCAACCTTCCACGTTCAAGCAATAGCACCGGACCAACAGAAGTGCACTAATCACTTCGGAAGATGTAGGCAATGGGCCGTCGTCGATTTTTATATTGCTGTCGGTTTGGCTCGTGGTCGGCACAACGTCTGCAATGTAATCCTCATCCTGTAATTGGCCCGTGATGGGGGCATCATCACTGTCGAACTCGTCGAATGTCGATCCGTCGATAGCACCCGGGAACTCTGCCAGCTCGTTCCAAACTTCGGCGGAAACACCTGCAGTGTCTTCAGTGCTGTCAGAATTTGGGGTGTCATCACCAGGCATGCGGAAGCCGGCATGCCTAAAGCAGTTCTGGATCGTCTCCTTCTTGATATCTGCCCACGATCTACTCAACATAGATATAGCTCCGAGCAAGTCGATCTTGAGGGGAGAGGTGGCTTTGAAAAAAAACTTTTTTATTTGTTGACCTACAGCAATGAAATTTGGCATGCATACTCATAAGTGTCTAGAATAGGGAAATATGCAGTTTCATCATGATAGCTTCAGTAGTTTTCAAGTTACATAATGCTACACAATCCAATTACATGGTCTGCTCGTGGAAAGCCTAGCGCTGCAACAAAACATGCCAGGAAGCTGCAAATGATGTTGATCTTTACTCAAAAGAAAGCTACAGGGTATGACACACTCGGAATTTTTTAGTAAGTTCTTGTTTTTTTTTTAGAGATCATCATGGCTGCCGACACACATTGTCAGAAACAATGGCACGGACAAATCATCGTCTAGAAAAATAACAGGGCCACAAAACAGAAGTTGAAGATTGCTGTACCCACAAGCAGTGTTCAGGGATTCAGGAAAAAAAACAGAATCAAAATCGGTCCAGTCATTCTCGTGCTACTCTTTCCACGAGCAATGCACAATATCCAAAACACACTTGTGAGAAAAAGCCGGTCGAAGTTTTCGACAGGCTTTTTTTCAATGAACTTTTTTGTTTCTCGTTGGATATTGATGAAAATGGGCACAGACACTAAGAATAACCTCACAGTGCTTCCATAAAAATTTTGAAGCGATACCACGAATACTTTACGTGAAACAAATTATTTCTTCATTGAACCATGTGGAGGGGCTGAGCATAATGTCAAAAAAAAAAAGTATTGAGAAAGCTGCGTTTAAAGTTTCAACTTTTCTTTACGTCTCTAAGACACCTAAAAATTGTGATCTCAGGTTTGTCTTGTGATATTTGACTTCTTTTCATGATTTACTCCTTTTCATGAGTTACAAAGAACAAGTATGAATTTCAAACCAAGTTCTTTGTATGAAGGAGTGGTGTGATAGGTATGACAGAAAAGATTGTAATTGAATAAAACCAAATACTGAAACTATTAAACATACCTTTTTTGTGCTGAAGTTGTAATTAGCATAATTAAATACTTGATTACAAATATTCACTGAACTTTTTTTTTATTTGGGGAGAAGTTTATTGCATCAGAAAAATGGATCACACCATGATGGCCTATGCCTTCTTTCTAAATAACAAAGTTATGGGCAGAAGACTGGTGGCACGGGAATTTCTAGCAGTATAATTAATGACACGAAACGGGCATATAAAAATTCGTGCCCCTGATTCACACATGCTCTTTCACCGCTCTAGCCGTGAAACGCATCATCATACAGCCGGTCGCGGAAACTCTAATCTACAGCAATTTATTAACCTCGGAACATTCACAGACGTTCGTGGCGATATCAAGCACGGCTCCAAGCACGTCTGAATCGCATCACAAAAGCTTACTGACGGCGCTCCATATGACCGTGGGGTGCGCGGCCGCGTGGACAGTGCAGCCGGCGCGTAATGCACTTGCCGGCGGCGTTCGATGACGATGCGCGAAATGTGTAACTACGAAGACAAAAAATCGGCACGCACTGCACTTGGCATCGCATTTTCGAATGACGACGCGCGAAACTGCTAGCCGCTGTTCCGAGCGATCCTTAGCAGTGAAGGGGGGGGGGGTGACGAGCTTGACTGTGTTGTCCGCTGCCGATGCGTAAAATGCCCGTACAATATTCAGAGGAGCTAGCGAGTGATGTGGTACATTCCTTGCGAAGAAGCACGTCACCAAGAGTGCGCTTGCGCGTCGTTCCTGCCCGCAGTCTCGTTGTCAGCGGAGTTAAGCCTAAAGCCGACTCCGATGACGCACCGCACTCGTAGATTACCGCGCGCCCGCTCGTAGTAATCTGATCGTGCATCCGGCGCGGCCACTCGTAGTAATCAGATCGTGCCGCCGCTTACAGCTTCGTTGCTTGCGAAGAAGCACGTCGCCACGAATGCGCTAGCGCGTCGTTCCTGCCCGCAGTCGGCGGAGTTAGGGCTAAAGACGACTTCAATGACGCTCGGCGCTCGTAGTAACCTGATCGCGTATCCGCTTGCTGCTCATAACTAAAGCGTAGTTATATCTTAAGTTAATATCAAGCCGTGAACACGTCACGAAGTGGCGATTTTCGATAGCCATGTCCTCGCGACGCACAAGCATCAGACGATCTCCCGGAGCGAACATCGGGCCAATGGCGAGGCGAGCTGAGGCAACATGGCGGCCACGGCCAATCAAGGGCCTCAAAACGACCTTCAAACATTTCCTTTTTGCTCGCTTGTTGTTAAAGGGAGGAGCCAGCTGAGGCGGGAAAGTTAAACACGGAGAAATGCTCTTTCCGATGAGCCCAAGAAGCCGGCTCCCGGCCCAAGCATAGCGAAGCTATTATTTTTTGAAAATCGCCATTTTCTCGCCATTTTCAGAAAAAATTTTGCTACCTAGGTGGGTGAAACGAATTTTCCGAAGCACTTCTGCGCGGTTTTCAGTGTAAATATTTTGGAACCAGATAGAAAAAGGGTTCCAGAAACTGAAAACTTGAGTTTCAAAAAATCGATTTTTTTGCCATTTTTCGCGATCCCAAAGCCGCGTCCCCCCTTAAGCTCCTTGCCGACACGAAGGTTCTGCAGCAGCCTCTCCACCAGGCGCTCCCGATAGCGGGCTTTCATTGCGCGTATAACGCCTTGATCCAGTGGTTGCAGTACAGACGTAGTGTTCGGAGGCAAAAAACGCAGCTCAAATGTTGCTGAAGGTCGTACTGCAGTGGTGCGATGAACAATTGTCCACGAGCAAGCACAGCTTGCGATTTTCGCCTACCAAATCATCATTTCACGACGATAGCCATCTGCTGAAAAGCTCCCCGGTCATCCCCGCTTTTGAGTTTGCTCGGTAGGTAACTGGAAGCACAGAGCATTTCGAAAACACTGCGGTGCCGTGCTTTTCCCGATAACCAGAGGTCAAAGCCTTTTCGATCCGTCTAAATTAGCTGCCAACAGCACGGGCACACGAGCTTTGTTTGCCTTGCCGCCGCTTGTCTTGTCACGACACGCGAGTGTCTTGTTTGGAAACATTTGCCAAAATAGAGCGGTTTCATCCGCATTGAAGATAACTTGGGCTCTATATCTTGCTGCGATATCTCGCCAGTTTTCTTCGAGCCATTTTTCTACGCTGTCCAGGTCCGCCACTCTGCTTTCACCTGTAACAGGTTTGCCAATGATGTCGTGTTGTTCTTTGAACCGCTGAAGCCAGCCTGAGTCGCCTTGGAAATCATTCCTGCCAAGCTGAAAAGCAAGGTCCTTGGCTCTCTGCTCGATCATAGGGACGGGCACCGGGATGTTTCGTGACTGAACGTCCACAAACCACTTGTAAAAGGCCGCTTCAACATATTCGTACACAGCAGCGCGCACACGTCGGGTGCCACGGGCACCTGGCCTTTTGTCGGACTTGGCCCTGATGTCTGCCTTGTTCTTCAGGATAGTACTCAAGATGTTCCTTGGAATTTCGTACGCGGCGGCGACGTCGGACTTTTCCTTTCACCGCGCTCAACCCGATTGATAATTTCAAGTTTCGCGGCGAACGGCAAATTTTGCCTCTTTGCGCAAGCCATGATGACAGTGCGCCAATGCAGTTCACAGAGCACCAACAGGCAACACCACAGACCACGCTGAATCGGCAGCAACAGGCACACAAGCATAAAGAAAGAAAAAATGGCGCTCACTTCTACCGCCTCCGCGTCTCGGAGAAAGCACGACGGCCTCTGATTGGCTGTAAGCGCTGCGAGCGAGCCAGGATCATTTCTTGGAGGGGGGTGTTCGCCCGCGCACAGCCGGGTCTAACCAACTTTTTCTAGGGTGGCGCCGGCAGTTTTCCCCGCCACCGCAAGGAAAAGCTAACTTGCTGCTGGGGCACTTTTGAGGCACATGGAGTTTGATATATCAGTTGTCGTTGCTATTTTCGTTCGATAAAACAGTAACTTTTGCTATATATTGACACGTGTCTCTATGTGAACTTACCGTGTTTAGGATTTGTTCAATATACGGGATAATTTGATATAAATGAGTTCGATATAGTGTGGCTCGACTGTAGGCGTCTCTCACAATCATATGTGGGTTTTGGGACATTAAACCCCACGTATCAGTCGATCAGTTGTGGACTAATATTTGAGAATACTAAATTAAGTAGCCTAGTGTTATTGCACTGTAATGTTAACCTCTTGGGAAAAAAAATGTCTGTACCCAGGTGAAACCTCCAGACTATGGTGGCCGACGGCAGCACAACTCATCTCCGTACAGGAAGAAGGTTCCCAAGGAAGCGTCACCCCCATTGGCCAAAAAGAACCAGCCAGCAGGCAGAGATCATGATTCCTCACGGGTAAACAGACATTGCCACTTGCTTGCTTGGTGTTTAACTGCCGGTAAATAGAAGTTTGTAGAGTTGACGCGCTGATGTAAGAGACAATCTGGTTTAAAGCATACAAGTGTGCCTACATGTATATAGTGGTGGATCATAAAATGGGAACTTGGAACCATGCTTGTGAAAGATATTTCATACAAGGGACGAAAGGTGTTCCCCAGTGCAGGCCTGCAGCCAGGAGAGTACCCTAAGCACCCCTTTCCCAAAATTCGTACGGAGGGGGCTGTTTTATAATATGCCCTCTCTCCACATTTCTGGAAATTCGGAGGCAGGGTTTGTTTTACCAAGAACAAATAAGTGTTTTTCAGGGCATTCAACGAATGGTTCTCCTCTTTTTAGGGGCGAAGCTCCTTAGGGCGTGGGCTGTGCGTCCCCTGTATGTAGCCACCTCTAGTTTAGTTCTTGCAGTGTTCACTAGATGGCGGTACCGTCCACTGTATGTAGCCATCTCTAGTTTAGTTCTTGCAGTGTTCACTAGATGGCGGTACCATCTCCTGTATGTAGCCACCTCTCGTTTAGTTCTTGTAGTGTTTACTAGATGGTGGTACTTGTAGCTGATGATGAGAAGATGCGAGATGTTATAAACTAGAAAGCGGTACTTGTAGTTGATGAAAGACGCGAGATCTTATAAAATAGGAATGATGTCACATATGGCGCGTGTCATTGGTTGAAGGCAATCGTTCGATTTAGTGCGGCGACGTACGCTAGGGGGAGCGATGTAATAAAATCGAGTGGGCAAAATGTACAGAGGATTCATGGTTTACCAGGTTTACCTCCGGAGCTTCGCCCACTCATCATCATTCACTTCGTGGATATGGCGGCACTTTTTTTGAGAAAATTCTTGGCTACAGGCCTGCCCTGTTGCATGTCTCTTATAAAGGCGCTCCACTTTTAATTGGCAGTGTCCTATGCTAAATGTGAGATAGCATTTCTTTCATGTGATTCGCAACCTCTTGCAGAGTTGAGTGCATCATTTTTCTTGAAACATCATTCCTAGCGCCGGTTGTTGAAAGACCTAATGTATTCCATTGTCAATAACTTTAGAGCACTAGAGGATACATTATTGTAAAACTGAAATGCTTGTGTCCTGCTGCTGCAGTTTTTTTAGATATGTCAGTGCTCATAAAAAAGTGTTGTGTAGTTCAAGATATAGCCTGAGAATTTTTCGTACCTACATGGGCACACAGTCCAGCTATTTTATCACTTATATATGCATACTTTCAAATTGAAATGTGGGAGGTGGAAGTGGTAGACTTATTAGCAGTTGCACAGAAATTGGTCTTTTGCAAGTTCCATTGAGATTTGCCACCATTCACTGGTACTGACGCTGTGTGTTTCAGGAGCGAGACGTCGCTGAAGTGAGACGACCTGCTCCAAAGCAGGAGCCCTCAAGACCGGAAAGACCTGAGCCCGAGTCTGAATCCGAGTCTGAGTCTTCATCAGAGTACGAAGAAGTAGAAGTGGTGGCCAAGAGCCCTCCCGTCTCACCTGACAGGCAGTCTTCAAAGAAGATCAAGAAGAAGCGGAGAAGGGAATCGGAGTCTAGCGATGTGAGTTTTGACCTCTTAGAAATCTAATTTTAACATGATAGCATCAAGCGACTTATGACTTTTCCTCAACCTACGAGGTCGGTTGGACGTGTAGTCTCCCCAAACAAGCCATTGTGGAGAAAACGCCTGTGTGGACGTTATCATCGCGGTCAGTTGAAGTTTTCACATTCTTATCTCTTTGTTGCTTCCCGCCGCCGGACACTCGTTTCATGGAAAAGACTTGGGGCTTCAAGTCGTGGAAATGCACTCCATCTATGCTTCTCATGGACAGCTTATCGCTAACCAACAAGAGTCTGTATTAGCAACGCAAGAAACGATAAGCTGGCATGAAGCGCTGGTGCTCGCGAATATAGTAGCCGTGAGAATGGTAGCCCTACATAAATCAACTTAGCGGATGGCACCTAACTAAACTAATGTTAACCCAAGGTGATGGCAGTATCATAGAAGTACAGTAGACTCTCAGTAAATGGAAATCTGTTAAACGGAACTGCTGCTTAAACGGAACAATTGCCTCTGCAATGCTTGGTTTCCGGCTTGTATTCTGCACTCATGTTCACCTTTCAGTATACGAAAATTCTGTTAAATGGAACACATTTTCCCAGTCCCTTTAGTTTCCGTTTACTGAGAGTCTACTGTACAGTGTCAATCTTTATGAAAGGCCCCACCGCGGTGGTCTAGTAGCTAAGGTACTCGGCTGCCGACCCGCAGGTCGCGGGATCGAATCCCGGCTGTGGCGGCTGCATTTCCGTTGGAGGTGAAAATGTTGTAGGCCCGTCTGCTCAGATTTGGGTGCACGTTAAAGAACCCCAGGTGATCGAAATTTCCTAAATTTACGGTGTCTCTCATAATCCTATAGTGGTTTTGGGACGTGAAATCCTACATATCAATCAATCTTTATGAAAGTGAACACGAGAGCGCGTAGCCTGCACGCTCCTGCAACTGCTGGCAGCGCGTTCAAACGGGAGCAGGAGCAACCACTTCATCTTTTCACGTCATCTCGAGGCGAGCAAAACAACCATTCATTGCAGATATGGAACCAGCGGCAACACTGCAACTGCCTCCTGCTTCAAGGGTTGCAGTCTTGCCGCTGAAACACGAAAAGAGGCAGTGGTTGTTCTTGCTCCCGCTTGAACGCGCTGCCAGCAGCCGCTGGAGCGCGCAGGCCACATGCTGCCGTGTTCCCTTTCATAAAAATTGATACTGTAAATATGTAATGTTTGTAAAATTTGATAGGCAGCACTGGAACTGCAATTGACGTTTCACGAACATTAGGGGCTAGCTGCTGCGTTAGCCCGCCTTGATAACAGACCCTTGCCGACATGATCTGTCTTTGCACAGAAAATCAGTGAAGGCCTTATTGAACTTTTTGTGTGGTAGTGGCCTATTGAATAGGCTATAGCACCCCCCTCCCTCTTTTTTTTCTTTTTGGCAGATCTATTTTGCTCTTCCCTTTCTTTCTTCCTGTTTTCCTTAGTGCAAAGTAGCAAACCAGATGCCCCTATTTTTGGCTAACCTCCCTGCCTTTCCCTCATTTTACTCTCTTATGGTCTATTTGAAAAGTAGTTCTGACACCTCGCATGGCTCTGTGATAGCATACTTGATTGCCACACAGGATGCTGGGACCCTGAAATACATTCAAACACGGATATATCAAACTCGAAGGGAATCGCGAATTAGTTCGATATATGAAAAAATTAATATAAAAAAATAGAGGCCCAGAGAGCTTACCTGTAGCGGATCATCACCTACAATCGGCCCATTCAAGAATGACAACTGATTCCACATACATACCGCAACATAATAATTTATTTGCATGAAAAAAAAAAATCGCTTATTTTAGCCGGCTTTTTCGTTTTTGAAATGCTGAAGACATTAGTCTCGATCTTATTGAGGCTGTCCAGGTGCGACAGCCCAGCTCCCTTCATGTGGCCAATACAACGGCAAATGACGCCGAATGCTTCCGCCACTTCAGCGGCAGAGTACACGCGCGCAGCCAGCGCTTCGTTTGGACGATCCTTCTCGTCACATGAGCTGTCCGCCTAGGCATCCTGAGTCCCTGTGATCACAGCTACTACATCCTCGTCAGCGAGGCTCGCAACGGCCTGGACATTGTAGTCCGCTTCCACGAAATTGTCTGCAGACACTTCATGTGGAACTGCTGCCGGGAAGCCGGACGATAACTCGGGAAGCGCGTCATCTATACGCTCGTCGCTGTCGTCTTCACCGATTTCCGCAAGTTCCGCCGTCTCAAAGCTTGCTTTGCGGAAGCACTTGACTACTGTGTCCGTCTTCACGTCTCACCAAGAGTTGTAGATCTCCGTGGGAGAAAACTTAGCGGAGATTTCCGGCTACACATTTGTCATCCACTGCTGGATGTCCTGGCTGATGACAGCTTCGCTTTCGCCAGGAATGGTTTTGCCAGTGATGTTGCAGCACTGCTTAAATTGGTGAAGCCACCCGGTGTTGTCGGCAAAGTTGTTTCACCGTGTGTAGCAACAAACCATTTGGCCTTGGTAATCAGCATAGGGCCATCCATCGGAACGTGCTTCGTGCACACTTCTACAAGGCATAGAGTGCCTTTTCTACATTCCCGTGGGCAGGAGCACGCACATGGCAGGCTTCCGAAGTTTGCTGCCTTTGCCTTCATATCTGCTTTATTCTTCAACAAGGTACTCAGAGTGCTACGTGGTATCCAGAAGTCGTCTGCGACGATCGTACACTTCTGGCCCGCCTCAACACGCTGAATAGCCTTCAACTTCGTCGCAAAGTCAAGGGTCATGTGCTTCTTGACGCGGACCATAGCTGCATGAAAAGTCTGCAATTCAAAGAGTTCGCAGCGGCTTTGCACACCATGCCTGCAAAAGAGAAATGCCGCACATGCGGTGGTACATAGGCGACGCGCGTATGGAAGCAACACGGCGCTTGCGAGGTGATGGCCACCTGCGAGGGCAACAGCGAAAGACGCGAGCTGCGGTTGGCTGATCAAAACTCGGAAGAATAGTAATAAAAGAGTAAAGGAAAAGGTGACATTCAACTCACGCTTGCGCTCGGTGCCCGGATATTGTGGGACGCGGCGAGTGCCGAAGCGCACCTTCCAGCTCGCGCGGCGTTCAATATATCCGAAGGCGGGTAAAAATACCGTATAATATAAACGTGCGTATTTTATAATTTTACAAAGTAATTTCAAGGGGATAACATGCGAGTTCGATATACCCGGAAATTCGATATATGTGGGCTCGATATATCAGTGTTCGACTGTATGTTGTTTGCATTCATCGGGTCAACACTGCCGATGTCAGCTTTTTCTTAATGCTCACGCATTAAAATTACCCAAAATTACCCACGTGTGTTCTGTCATTCCTGGGTAGATACTAAGTGTCAATCAGCTGTGGCACAGACCCACATACAAGTGGCACATACCCACCTGCGGGTATGTGCCACAGTCTGGTCGAAAGTGTTGACAACGTACGCGACGGGATCGTTACATTATACATGCCTCGACCAGTGCATCATATTCATCAAACCATCTTACCCTCCCATACTAATTTTGGTTGATGCCAAATGAAGGGGGTGATCATGGGAGCACCCAGATGTAAGCGGTTAGACAGACAGACGGGACCGGGCAGGCAGACAGCACCAAAAGTGCTTGCAGTAATCAAAGAAATGCTTCACACCTAATGTGCACTTCTGCTGTGTGAACATGCTCCTGCAAGAGTTTTGTAAATATGTGCAATAATAAGGAAGTTACAGAGGTTAGAACATTTGTTTCAGCTAGTTCAAAATTTTTGCACCGCCTCTCATTCTCCGCTGTTGGGAGGGGAAAGACGTAGCTCGTCGTCGTAACTTAGCCCACATCGGCTATGTGACACGTCAGTGATACGTCATTGGCAGGCAGCCAGCGGCCGAGCAGAGCTACCCACACATGAGCATGTGTCATAGCGGCGTGGGGAGAAAGGGCAATGCGAGGACCACACTTTCCATAGCTGTAAAGTAGTGGGATGCCTCTTTACATCAGAGGCCTTAGTTCTGGCAATACCGATTCTCCCGGTAATCTTGGGCTCTACAAACGAGCTGAGGGCAGCACAGGAAAATGATAACGCATACTGCGTGTCAAAACTGCATCACCACAGGGCCAAGGCCCTGTTTCGTTGGACAAAGGAGCAATCAACAAGCTCAGTGGTATGTCAAGTGGTTTATGGGCAAGCTTGCATCACTACGTGTACGAGGGCGATCGGTCAGAAGGAAAGAAGCCTCGGAATGTGTGTGTGTGTGTTTTTTTTTTTTTTTTGTAATGGAGGGTTCGTGCAACGAGCAGGGCTCACTACTGTCTACTGTACAATTTGTACAATTTATGGTCTACTGTACAATTTGTGCAGTAGACCGCAGTCACATTTCCCGAATATTTCTGTGTTTACTACAATACCGGAATATTCTGGTATTCAATCAAAGTATCGGAACATGTCCAATAAGTTCATTTCCAAAAGTAACCAATTGCACCTTACAAATAAAAGCTTACCGTATTTACCCTGTTGGTTTTGTAAGTGCTTGTGTGGCACATTTGTGAGGGAGCAGATGATAAACAGCATGACATAACCCTGTGTGGTCACGTGATAAGCCTCCTACACTACTACGTCACAACCTGATTCAGCGCCCAGAATTTGCAAGCTTGTTTCGGGGGTGAAAAAAAAAAAAAAAAAGTCTAAGCCTGTTTACTGGTTCTTTAGAAGGTTTGTTTTGCAGAAGTTCGGGTGTCAGCTTCATTAACTGGTAGTGAAAAATGAGCATTGTGTGTGAAGGAAAAATCGAGGTAGGTGAAAATAAATAATTCTATGAATATTCCGTCCTTATGAGAATCGAACCCAGGCCTTCTACATGGCACGGTTTAAGACGTCGCAATGCACATATGACCTGATTACACTATCCCGTTTTACTTTTGTAGGCGAAGCTCAATTGTCTTTCAATATTTTTGTACAATTATTTAGCCTACCAGTGGTAATGCGAAATCGCTTGTGATAGCATACTACAGTTGAACCCTTTTATATAAGTGACACTGATGTAGGAGACAAATGGGTATAAGAGACACCAGTGGGCCTGCATAAAAATAGGGTTTGATTAGAAAATGCACAAGTGGTACCCTGCTTGTAAGAGACACCTCGTATAAAAGACAAGAATGGCTGCCTAGTGCATGTTTCTATAAAGGGGTTCCACTGTATCAGCAGTACCTATTTCGCTTAAGTAATGGGCAATCTCTTGACGAAGAAAATAAATTATTGTGGCAATCAAAGCACCGGAATATGACCAACTATAAATTCATATCCAAAAGTAACAAATTGCACCTTACAATCGAAAACCTACCATATTTACTCAAATACATATTTACTCGAATATAGTTTGGCCGCTCTAAAATTGTATGGCAAGAAAAAAAAAGGGGGGGCTCGAGCACATGTTATTTAAAAAATTTATTTGTGATGTCTCCAAAAGAAATGAAGTCGAATTCCGGTGTCCCAAGATGGCTTCACAGCAGTGCTTTAAAGCTGTGCAGTTCTTACAAACCGTGCCTTTACGGCTACGAAGTTTTCAGGATATCTTCTTTGCATACAAGGATTTTACTATAATGCAGGTACTACTTTGTCAAGTCACTGTAATGCCTTTCTGATAAGTATCATTTTCTGAGTGCCTGTGTGCAATGTGTGTTATTCTTGTATAGTGAAATCAGGTTGTGTTTCATCAATAGTTTTTTTTTTCTCCTCGATAAATTTCATTATAGCTCGCTTTTGTTGCCTTTCAGTCGGAGGGATCTAAGAAGAGGAGAAAAAGGCACAAGAAGCACAAGAAACATCGGAAGCATAGGAAGCACAGGAAATCAAGCCGGAAAAGTGGCGAAGAGGAGGAGGAGGAGGATGATGATGGAATGACTGAAGAGGTCAGTTGAGAAATTAAACATCCAGTATTGTTCTTTCATGCACACTTGTTGTTTCTTCATTACCAAAGGCTTTTTTTTTTTCTGCTGAGAAAAAAAAAGAAAAGAGTTTAACCAGAAGAGAAAATGTTACCAAACATTTGGACATACATACAGATCAACAGGTGCACCTACCGTATTTACTCAATTCTACCGCGCCCTCGATTGTAACGCGCACCCGATTTCCACCGCGGAAAAACAAAAACAAAACGTAAGACATCGATTGCAACGCGCACCCATTTTTCTCGCTAGCTCGCACGATCACACCACTCGTAAAAACGACTCCTTTCAGAAGCGTCTTCCATTTAAATATGAGGTACGGGCGAAGCTTGTGCCCATCTGACGTGTAACAGAGCATTGCCGTCACTGTAGTTTAACCGTGGACTGATGTCAGCACGCGAACTTACTTCGCCCCCTTCTTCTCGACGGTTGTGTTGCCAGGCATGTCGAAGTAAAGAGGCGTCTGATCGGCATTCCTGATTTGCCCAAGCAGGTAGCCGTTGTTGCGCCGCAAGTTTAGGATGAACCTCTGAAAACTGTGAAGCTTTTCATCGTACTTCTCTGCAAAACTTTTCGCATATGCATGTTCCCCTTCGGAGGGAAAAGCCTTTCCTCTTCATAAAGTTAGTTAGCCAGCACCTGCTCGCTTTAAACTGGCTCCGCATTAGACCTTTTTCTAAGGCTAATTGCATAGCCCGCACTTGGAGCAGTTCTGTCGTCACGGGCCGCTGTGCCGCTCGCTGCTCAAGCACATACTCGCCGAGCAGCTCATCAATTTGCAGAAACCGACCTTACTGTGGTCCACTGAAGCCTTTGCGTGAAGCTTTGCTGTCGACATACTTCTGCTTTTGTTTCCGCCGGTCCCGCACGCACGTTTCGGGAACTCCGAACAACCGCGATGCGGCCCGATTTCCGTCCGTTTCTGCACACGCGATGGCTTTTCTTTTAAAAGCGGCATCATGGTGCACTCGAGTTTTTTGGAGTCGGCCTTTCCACGCCGTCGATGCTAATGCACTACTAGATGACGAACTCCTCAGCACACGTACGAAGTATATGGTGGTTTTGGGACGTTAAACCCCACATATCAATCAACACGTACGAAGTGCCGCACATGGGAAACACATAGGCAGAAATGGCCGACGCGCCATGCCGACGCACGTAGGGGGCGGCCATTTTGGATTTGCCGATGGCAATAGATTGACCGTAATTTTTTTTTTCGTACTCGATTCTAACGTGCATGCGATTTATGAACTCACTTAACCGGAAAAAAGGTGCGCGTTAGATTTGAGTAATTACAGTATTACCGTATTTACTCGATTCTACCGCGCCCTCGATTGTAACGCTCACCCGATTTCCACGACGAAAAAAAAAAGGTAATACATCGATTGCAACGCGCACCCATTTTTCTCGCCGGTGCGCACGATCACACCACTTGAAAAACGACTCCTTTCGGGAGCCTCTTCCGTTTAAATATGAGGTACGGGGAAGCTTGTGCTTATCTGACGTGCAACAGAGCATTGCTGTCACTCAAGTTTTACCGTAGCCCAATGTCAGCACGCGAACTTGTTTCGCCCTCTTCTCGACGGTTGTGGTGCCAGGCATGTCGAGCTAAAGAGGCGTATGATCGGCATTCCCGATTTGCCCAAGCAGGTAGCCATTGTTGTGCCGCAAGTTTAGGACAAACCTGTGAAAACTGTGCAGCTTTTCATCGTACTCCTCTGCAAAACTTTTCGCATGTGCCCATTTACCTTCAGAGGGAAAAGCCTTTCCTCTTCATAAAGTTAGTTAGCCAGCACCTGCTCGCTTTAAACTGGCTCCGCATTAGACCTTTTTCTAAGGCTAATTGCATAGCCCGCACTTGGAGCAGTTCTGTCGTCACGGGCCACTGTGCCGCTCGCTGCTCAAGCACATACTCGCCGAGCAGCTCATCAATTTGCGGAAACCGACCTTACAGTGGTCCACTGAAGCCTTTGCGTGAAGCTTTGCTGTCGACAATCTTCTGCTTTTGTTTCCGCCAGTCCCGCACGCACGTTTCAGGCACGTTTCAGGCACGTTTCACGCACGTTTCAGGAACGTTTCAGGACCGCAATGCGACCAGATTTCTGTCCGTTTCTGCACACGCGATGACTTTTTTTTTAAGGGGGGACGCGGCACTTCGGGACCGAAAATCAGCCAAAAAAATCGAGTTTTCGCGGACCTTCTTTTCGCGTTCCCGACATCATTGCGCACCTATTTACAAAACTTCATAGCCGAATACCATCAACTTTTATCGTTATTCAACTTTAGAAAACCGAAAACGGGCGTCCTGCCCTTTAAATTGAGGGCGAATAGTGCAGGTTTCGGCTCTACGATACGCGGGAACTACGCGCTCGATCGGCGCCATTTTGGTCTTGTTTGAAAGAACGCGTTTTCAGCTGTTTTTTTTTATTCTGTAAGCAACATTGAGCGTTTCCCCGGCTCGAAAAACGGGGCCTCAAAGACGAAGAGCCGCGCTCACTGCCATTGGCTAAACGGCGCACATGGCTGCAATGGCGCTTTCCGGTTGGCTGGAAGCTCGTGGCTTGCGCCTGCATACGCGACCCGACGCCATTTTGAAAGGGTTACCGCTGTGACGCCTCGAAATCGGCAGAGCATTCTGAAGCTTCTGATCGTATCGCCGTGCCTGGAAACGCAAAAAAGTATCAGACCGTGCACGCATTTGGTCGCAGGAAACGCAAAGGTCGTGGGAGAAAGTCTACGAAGTCATCAGAGCCCTTGGTTGACTCCGACGAACGATGTGTCGACGCTCCGCGGCCGTTCAGCGATGGTGCGACCGAGCGCGTTGCCTCCGACGACGATGACGGTGAAGCGAACTCCGGACGACTACGAATCGACGCCAAGGTGGTGACAAACGCCGAAGTTGAAGAAAATTATGCCCTGGAGAAAGCGGCGCTCGACCGGCTTTCATCGGCGCCAGCAACTGCACTGAAAATTGACTTTTTCACCGCGAGTTGTAGCGAGGCAACCGCACAGGACTCGGACCACGCTGCTCCTTATCTGCTTATGTATCTAGATATCCTAAACGCGATAATGGGTGCCTTGTGTTGCAAAGCCTGCCACGGACCGGCTACGATCGTCAGAGGGGATCGGGACTACGGACTTGCCGTGAAAGTGCTAGTGCAGTGTGAAAGGTGCGGCAAGATCGCGAATGAATGGACTTCGCCCCGCGCGAACGGCACGAAAACGTGCAATCCGTTTGAAGTAAATCTTCTCGCTTCGAGGGCGATGGTGGCTACCGGCAACGGCCAAACGAAAATGAACGATATTTTCGCAACAATGGGCATCTCACACCGCGGTATGCACCACAAGACGTTTCAGCGGCATTTGAAGAACACGCTGGCACCCGCTGCAACGCGAGCGGCTGAGTCCGCTATGAGCGAATGTGCGGAAAAGGTTAGAACAATTTATAATGACTTGTGCTTCGGCCACCGGGGCAATATTGCCGTTAGCTACGACGGCACGTGGAAGACGCGAGGCCATTCTTCCCACATCGGCGTGGGCACAGTTATCGAATTATTTAGTGGCTACGTGTTGGACTACGTCGTTCTTTCCAACTTTTGCCTAGGCTGCGAGGTGGGCCCAAAGCCTAGTAGTGAGGGCTATCAAGAATGGAAGGCTAACCACAAATGCCAAAAAAATACGAACAGCAAAGCGGGGCAAATGGAAGTGGAGGCGGCTCTAATTCTATTTCAGAGGTCGCTTGAACGCCATGGCCTGCGCTACACAACTATGCTGTCTGATGGAGACTCTAGGACATTTTGCGCCATACAAGACGCCAAGGTGTATGGTTACATTGACGTGCAGAAGGAAGACTGTATTAATCATGTACAGAAACGGATGGGCACCGCATTGAGAAACCTGGTGCAGAAACAAAAGTGCGATGGGAAAAGAGGCCTTGGTGGGAAAGGCAGGCTCACAGGTGAGCTGATCACCAGGCTGAGCACATATTATGGCCGGGCTCTGAAATCGCATGAAGGTGACGTGGGCGAGATGCAAAAGGCTGTGATGGCCACATACCGCCACGTCACCTCCACTGATGAATGCTCGGACCACAGTCTGTGCCCAGATGGTGAAACTTCATGGTGTCGGCACAATGCCGCAAAAGCAAAGGGTGAGCCCGACCCCAGGCATGCCTACAATCTACCGAAAGACGTGGCAGAAGCATTACTACCGGTTTATACCCGGCTTTCGGAAAGAGCCCTGCTTCAGAGGTGCGAACGCGGCAAAACGCAGAACTCCAACGAGAGCCTACATTTGGTAATCTGGAGTTTGGCCCCCAAGGAGCACCATGCGTCCCTGTTCGCTGTTGAAGCAGCTGTTGCAGAAGCAGTGCTGCGCTTCAACACGGGCAATTTGAATTCTGCAACGGCAATCTTAGGTGAAATGGACATGAATGCGACAAGTACTGGTGCCAGGAGAGCGAGAGAAAAAGACCACCGTCGCAGCATTGTCTCCAACAAGAAAAGAACAGCCTCATTGGAACTCCGGAAGCCAGTGAAGAGGAGGCATGAGCACAGAATGCATTCAGACTATGCTTCTGGTGCATTTTGAGGTTGTCTTGTTGCATCTTCTGCAATAAAAATGTGTGCCCACGTTTTTTCTCGATTTCTCAAAACGACAATTTTCATGTGCTTCCCATTATGCCGGAGCAATATCTCTTGTTCTATCTGGGTTATCATTACGATTTCTTTTTTGTTTCGAAGATAAATGCAGGAGATGTGTCGTAAAGTAAGTTTTATTGTAATAATTTTTGGAGAAAATTCTCTAAATGGATCTTTTGTTTCAAGTGTAGATGGGGAAATTTTTCATGTCATATTCAACATCCCACAACTTTGCTTCGAAATAGCCCAGAACAATGATTTATACTTTATTGCACACTCTGAACATACCGAATTGGTTCTATAGGTTGCACATCAATATCCAAG